ATTTGCACATTGCCTTTCAAATAGTTTAATTCATTGAGAATTTACTATTATTAATTACTAGTACTGTTACTATTCTATTGCTTTGTATTATATTTAATTACCTATATCAACCCTCCCCTTAGATTATGAACACCTCAAATGCACTAGCTCTTTGTTTTCTCCTTTGCAGAACTTTCCCATTGGAGTTACTAAATATTTGTCGAATTCAAGTGAATTAAGTGAATCTTATCACTCTCACAAACATACGTATTTTGTTAGATTTTCACTCCCTACATTTGCATCGATAAGACATTTCTCCATCAAATCAAGTCCAGGGTCATCACAAACTCTTCTTAAAGGTTTCTCTCTGCAGTTCATCTCTTGCCCCCTTCCCATATGAGTGACCTGTGCATCACTCCCCGAAGAACACCAGCTGACAATACAACCCTTTGTCTTCCCTTTCTACCTCACCAATCTAAATCATGAAGAAAACACTTTCCTTAGTCCTACATTTAAGAAATCAAAAAAAAAAACTTGTTGAAATTGGTTTGAAAACTTGAAGTAGATTATTCCTTTTTACCCATTACCCTTGTTGTTGTTGTTGTTGTTGTTGTTATGTGCCGTCGAGTCGGCCCCGACTCATAGCGACCGCTCCTTGGGTTTCCGAGGCAGTATCACTACGGAAGTAGATTGCCCAACCTTCCTTCCGAGGAGTGGCTGGTGGGTTTGAACTGCCAGCCTTCTGGTTAGCAGTCAAGTGCTTTAGCCACTATGCTACCAGAGCTCCTCCCATTACCCTTAGAAAGTATAATAATCATACTAATACCTAACAATTACTGAACTCTTTGTATGTGTGAGACACTCTGCGTACGACATACAGGTGTTAAGTTTTCTATTTCTTTTCATCAACACAACTCTATTAGGGATTTACCTCAATGTCTTCATTGTACAAATAGTAAGGCTAAGGTTTGAGATCTTAGTTTAAATAACTTATTCAGATACTTGACACCATCTTATGCTCTTCACCACTAGGACATATTTTCTTTGTAATTAAATAAATGAGTCAAAGCTTTCTTCTGAAATGAAATATCTTCCTCTGTCTCCATCAATCTCTCTTTAACTTCAATGAGTGGTCTATCACTTGGTTGCTATGTTAATGCTGTCCTTTTACCTGGTGTGAAGAAATTAGACCTACAAACATCTGTAGCTTCCATTGCATTCTCTCACTCAACTTTCAAGTCTTTCTCTGGATGGAAGCCAATTGAAAAACTTTCTGACTGGCTCTTACAAAGTAGCCATTAGTAATGACAGTTCCATTTTTAACCACTGATTCTGCAGCTTCACCCATACTTTCCTAAGCCCTTAGATCAGTTGCAACTGGTTCCAGTGATTATTTTAATCAGTTTTGTCAAATGGATCTTAGGATTTAGCTTATTTAATGCTAGATAATCTAATGATTTGTGACCATCTGCTTCTATTTTAGTAAAGTTGTTAAAAACTAGCTACTGTGATGTCTTATTGGAATTTCCCCACCTATCTGTTTTGTATAAAGGAAATATTTTTCCTTTACCTCCAGTTCATTTTTTGTTTTCTTAAAAACTATCTCTCAATCTTTTTTTTTCTTTGCATTGCTGCCATCTTCTTTCCACCTTATTCTCTGCATGTTCCATCCTCAGTCCGTCTTCCAGCTTATTCCCTGACAGCTGCCCTGTTCTCCAACACGTAAATAAATGCATTTCCTGCTTACTGCTCCCTGAATTTACTCTGCAGTTGTATAAACAAATAACATTGATAGCATATTTTCACATCTTAGTAAAATCTCACTTTATGAGATATATAGTCAAATAATTATGCACAGTCCTACTTGCTATGTTTTCCTGCCAAGGAAGGTTTATAGACAGATATTTCTACAGTAATCCAGATAATATTTATAACATCCAAGTGTTTGTGTTTGTTGTTTTGTTTTAAAACAAATGAAAATATATAGGCTAGATAAAATTTGATGAAATACATGGTGCAGCGTGGTCTGTGTAAAATTTGTTGTTGCGTGCTATCAACTAAATCCTGACTCATAGTGATGCCATGTGACAGAGTAGAACTGCCCAGAGGGTTTGCTAGGCTGTAAAGTTTATGGAAGCAGACTGCCATACCTTCCTCCTGCAGCACTGCTGGGTGACTCAAATGGCCAGCCTTTCAGTTAGCAGCAGATGCTTAATTGTCATGCCAACAGGGATGTTATACAAAAGCCTATATAAAATAGATCCAGGTTTGTTTTTTTTAAATGCTTGCATATGACAGTAAGCAAAATTAAAATTTATATAATTTTTATCTAATAATAGTTACAGTAATAAAATTGTAAAAAACCTTCATAGGGAAAGAATTGTGACTGTTTATAATAATAGTGTAAAAGTTCATTCTGCAATTTCGAAAAAGAGAACACTGTAAAGTAGAAATCAACTTAGAAACTGCGTCTGAAAAATAAGTTTTAGTATTTTGAAGTAAGCTTGGTTAATTAATTTGTAAGATTTACATTACCAAGTGAATGTGAAAACATAGAATTGGTAATCACCAAAGAGTAGGTATCAATATGATACATAGAATTTATGATGTTTTACAGGAGGGTTTTTTACTGGAGTAAAGATAGTTGTGAACTTTTTTAAAAAAATGAAAGTCCATTAAAGCTTTTCTACAAATTCGAAAGCTGGAACCTTAAAGTCTATAGTAGACTAAACACATATATTCCCAAAGCTATGGTATATTAAGTATGTGTGTTATCTGTCAGCAGGTGGGTACTTGATACATTTATTAGGAAAGATTTGTATTCTACTCTTAGTGCAAAACTAAAGAAATACATGATAAAGATGAAAGATAATAATGTTTAAACAAGATTTTAGTCTCCATATTTAAGTCTTTATAACAGTGCTGTAACCCTAGAGTGCTTTGGGTTAGTCTTCCACAAATGCCTATGAATGAATTATATTATTTATCTAATAACAAAGATCTGTTATTGTATGAAATTAATGCTTTTTGGTCCATTAAAAGCATACAACTTTCTCTGCCCACTAAACCAAACCAAACTCACTGCTGTTGAGTCAGATCCGACTCATAGTGACCCCTCCTTGGGTTTCTAAGGCGGTATCACTACAGAAGTAGATCACTCAATCTTCCTTCTGAGAAGTGGCTGGTGGGTTTGAACCGCCAGCCTTCTGGTTAGCAGGCAAATGCCTTAGGCACTACGTCCTCAGAGCTTCTTCTCTGCCCACTGAGCATTTTAAATTCATGTTTATAATGCATATCTGTATATGACATACCAAACACATATATTCATATAAATGTCCATATCCTTATGCTTAAAGTATAGAGAAGAATCTGTTTTATCCCAGGATATTTTCATTTTAAGATTTGTTTGGGTTCTAACTTTTATTCTAGGCTTCCCATGTAACCTGCTTTACTGAACAAGTTTTAAATATATCAGCAATATCTGAGTAAAACACATTTGAAATTTATTATTGGATTTGAAATTCTATCATCTTGCACAAATTACAGGAAACTTGACATTCTTTTTTTTGCAGTTCTTAATGATAATAGGTTTTCTTTTTTAAAAATATCTTTCTATTAGGCTTAATCCACTGTTGAATATATTTAATGTATTTATGCTGTTGTTGTTATGTGCCGTTGAGTCGGACCCAACTCATAGCGACCACTCCTTGGGTTTCTGAAGTGGTTATCACTACTAAAGTAGATTGTCCAACCTTCCTTCCGAGGAGGGGTGGTTGGTTTGAACTGCCAGCCTTCTGGTTAGCAATCAAGTGCCTTGCCACTATGCTACCAGAGATCACTGATAATTTAGAGAATACTTCATGCAAAGTGAATTCATCAGTTACTTTACTTTTCTATTGCTATTCTCAGCTTTCTAGCAAGGAACCACAAATCCACCATTTTCAATTAGGAGGAGAAAAGCATATGCAGCAGTTACAGCTTTTAATTTGACATTTGGTTTCAGGTCATTTTCATGTAAATAGGATACAATAGAGACCTACATACAATTTCCATAACAGGGATGTTTGCTTCAACTTTATAATTTTTCTTCTGCCAATTGCATTTTCTCTCTCTGGGTTTAAAGGAACCAATAATTATTCACAGTTATTATTTTTCATCTTTATGAAAACTTGTTACTTCTACTTTTTATTCTTAAAAGCTCCCATTGTCTTGTATATTTCAGTCATATACACTATCCGTTAATGTTCCCAGCTCATCCAATTCTTAATCTGCTACAGGTTAGGTAGGTCAGGCTTTCTATTTCTTTCTGTAATACGTTTTTTTCCAGGCTTCGCAACCTCTTTTTCTCTCTCTTAAAAAAAAGGAAGAAAGAAAGATAGGAGGTGAAAATTTGCAATTGTTTCAATGAATACAAGTAATGCCTTATTGAAAGTCAAGTTTAGGTCTTGATTTATAATGCTTAGGACATTCCCGTGTGTATTACTAACTGTGGCTTCACAACCATTGTAAAATGTGATTCTGTACTTTTTCTAATGAATATGTATTTTATTTCATTTTTCTTCTGCTCTGAAAAAAACAGCCTACCTTATACTTAAGCATAGATATGCTTAGTTGCATGTTTTATGATCTGTACAGTAAGTTTCCAGTGTGTCTCAATGGGGAGAAATTTCATTTTTGTGTATATCCTTTTAAATATGTTGATTTATGCAGATTAAGTTAAGTAGGAAGTTATTTTTGTAGATAGTCATTTCCATTTGTTCCTCTTCTAGGGGGATTAAAAAAAAGCAATCAGATAGTCTTTTAAACATTTTATTTCCTGGATCTTGTGAACGTACCAACAAATCATGGACTTCTTTGATTTCCTCTCTGCTATTGAATTTACAGTAGTTGATGTAATCCTTAGGTAGACTTTTTCTTTTTCTTTTCTTTTTTAATGTGCCTCATCAGGTTTTATTACTATTATTATTATTTTATTTTATTTTTGGCAGAGGCTCATCTGTGTTCTTATGTTTTCCACCCAGTGATATGACAAGAACAGTGGAGATTTCTGGGGAAGGAGGACCTTTGGGAATACATGTAGTGCCCTTCTTTTCATCTCTGAGTGGAAGGTAAGATGTTTTCCTTATTTCAGATGCTCAAGCTAATGAAAAAGCTGACTTGAGCTCATTTTCCCAAACACTTCTCAAAAGAGGATTAAGTCCATATCACTTTTATTCAAATGGACACCTCAAGATATACTTCTGTTGGCCACTTATGTGTTAGAAACAAAATAAAATCACTTACCTTTGGGATGCAATAAAAGAGAAGAAAATCAATCAGAGTTTCAGCATTTGTAAGTAATTATGAAGTACTTTCTTAAAATGTCCTTATCAATGACAAATATAGTAAACAGTATCCTTAGCAAAAATTTTAACATGCTGTTAGACAAGTTACAGCTGAATTCTTAAATGTTCCAAAATACTCTTCAACAAGTGAATATAATAATATCACAGACCAGAAAAGCCAAGTGATTTGCCCAGGGTGACACACACAAAACTCCAGAACCCTTAGCATCCCATCACTCTATTGCTCTTTTAGTACAAAAAATTTCCCAATGGTTATATAGTATTAATTTATTGGTTATGAACATTTACTCAGTTCAGCCTGCCATGTAGCAAGGAGGCCAGATTTAGGCATGGTATTTTGGTTGGCATCTTGTTCAGCAGGTAGCCATCTGCTGTCTGTAATTGCAAAGTCATCACCTTTTTTTGCAAATAACATCTGATGCCAAGCACTTGCTGGAATGAATCTTCTCTAAAAAGAAATGAACCGAAAAGTTAGTGCCTCTCATTCTCTCATTTCCTGTATGTGTTAATAAGCGTGTTTATAAATGTCATGGGTTATGGCACAGGACAGGCAGAGGTTGTTTTTGATAGGCAGGGTGAGTATTTACCCAGTTGTCTTGAGAAATTCTAATGGCTTTTGGCAGAAATACACTAATGGAGCTTTGTGAAAAAGCAGAGCAGTTAAATTACCAGGCCCTTTAACTTAATGAAGCTGGAATGGAACACACGATCGTCCCAATTTCCAAAACACAAGGAAATATACAATGTGACAGTCACCATACTTCATTTTCAATAGTTCAGAAAACAAGTTGACCCTCCAGACCAGAAATCACCTTCTCTCACTTCAAATGTGTGAAATATATTGATTTCCTCCCTTCTGCTTCCCAGTTCTGATTTCTAGCATAACCCTAAAAGTAAGAGTGGTAGGAAGAGCACTGGAAATGGATTCAGAACAATTGGAATGAAATCCCAGCCTGTTTTTCATAGTGAATCCCCTAATAGGTTTCCTCTGGTTAGATGGATAGTGAATACCTATTTTATACCAAAGTTGTGGGAACTAAATAACGTTAGAAATGTGAAAGCCCCCTATAAAATATCCAGCAAATGAATACATGAATTATCAGTATTATTATTATGGCTAAAACAAAATATCTTGGGTAAGAAATTTTCCCTAGTGGTCAGGTGTTCAAAAACTTTGTGAAATAGCTGTATGCGTGTGTGTGTGTGTGCATGTGTGTGTGTGGGTGTTTTGGTGGGGGTTGTATCCACTAGTATAACAGAGAGGAAATTTAATTAAAAACATTAAAAGTAATATGGAAGTGGAGACATGAACCAATAAAAGTTAAGAAGTAATGAGTACAGGCTGAAATAGCACACTTAACTTAACCCATGTGTCTAGATGTAACCGCATATAAAAGCATGTCAGACAAGTGTCTGACTTCGTAATGCCATATGGTTTCACTGTGTGAGGACAGAGGTTAGTTAAGGTCATAGTGGAATACTTAGTCCTTAATTTCCTTCCATTGATTGGTTTGTATCATTATTTTAAATTAGAATTTATATTTAATTCTTTACTAAGGCTACTGTAATTGGCTTTGCTTCTTCTTTTTTCTCTCTCTCTTAGAAAAATACTGCTACACCTGTTGTTGAATAAGAAAGCTTATCTAAGTTAGAATACATAGCCACTGTGCTAGATAAGGCCTCAGTGAGTTAGACACCTTAGCATAAGGGCGCTGAAAGCCGCTGCTATTGAGGGTCTTTGGCTTTCACAGTAAAAACAAAACAAAACAATACAGTCACCAGAAGGAAGGAAATAATCAAGATTCGAGCAGAAATCAATGAAACAGAAAATAGAAGGGCTATAGAAAAAATCAACAAGACCAGAAGTT